GTTGGTCGTCGGACAACGTCGTCCGCTTGTTTTCATTGCTCCTCGAACTTCAATGAATTTCCTCGGTTACAATTGGTCTGTGAAACTACTGAAAAACCTCGAGGTAAAAATATTCTACAACTCCGGTCACCTTACACGCTCCCGTTACATTCCCGAACGAAATCCGTTAAAAGTCGGGGCGAGATGTTCTCAGAGACGTCGAAAGGAAGGGGATGAAAAGAAAAAAAAACGGTCGCGTCGTTTCGATCGTGGACTATCACGAACAATGCGAAAAGTGATTACGCGTCGACTCTAATCAACGGACAACGCGAGCGAACGGAAGAGACTCGGATTTCCAACCGAGCCACGTGACTCCGGGGTGCGTCGAGTCTGATCCCCGGGCCCCGTACGTCGCGCGAAAGCAAGAACGCGAATGATCGCGATCGGCATCGATCGTTGTTCGCCGCGTGGGCTCGTTAGGCCGGCGAGAAACGTGTAAAAAGACAGCGTAAAAAACGCGACGCTGCGTTTCGAAAATTAACGGCGGACGCCTCGCCCTTCCGTGCTACCCCTCGTGAAAACCGTAGGCTGGGCCGCACCGTAAACAATTCGATTCGTTCATCGGGAAAAATGAAAAGCGTTTCCCGTCCGATGAACGCGTCAACGAGAGAATAGGGACGCTTGTCCGACGAGGACATGCTCGATCGCGACCGCCGATCGGATGAATCACGGAACCGATAACGATTACGAACAGAGAAACAGTTTAAAAAGTACAAAAGTGCAAGAGGCGATTAGAAAAAGTCGAGTCCCCCGTTGACGATTCGCGACTTGGCCACGCGATCAGCTCGCGGTCGTCATCTCCCGCCTTCTTCTCCTCGCTCGAAACGTGTTCGATTTCCACGGGGCGTTCTCGCCAACGACGAACCACCCGGTCGCGTCCTGTGACAGGTTTTCCCCTTGTTCTCTCGGTTTTCATTGTTTTCTTCTCTGCTCTCCTTTTTTTTTGTTCATTTCTCGTGGATGTTCGTAGAAAATTAGAAACGCCGGTTACACACAAACGATAAAAAGCGGATATCAAAACCCCGTGTTCGTTCGTATCGATCATGGCGGCCCCGTCCCGGTTCCCCGTCGATCGAGGAGCGAGGATCCGAACCCTGCGATCCTATCGATCTCATAATAAAACACGGAACAGCGAGAACCTTGACTATCTTTCTACCCTTGTGGACCTGCTCCTCGATGGTCGAAGGAAACGGTGATCGATCACTCTTTCGTTCTCCTGAATCCTGCTTCGGACTTCGACTTCTACGTCTGGATCTTCGTTATCGAAATTGACCGCATGTAAATATTCGTACTCCTCTTTTACATCATCCTCATTCGCCATGGTATCAACTAAATTTCACGGCCTCGCGCGAATCTGTTCTCAGAGTTCCCCACAAAAGATCCGCCGAAGTCTAAAAAGGGTGTATACGTTTCATTGAAAATCTCTCAGTCGGGTGGAAAGTCCACCTCTTGCTTGGATTTATTCTGAGAACAGTTCCTCGAGGTTCGCGCCGAGCGATCAGGGAAGTATACAAAATTCATTTACCGCGATCAAGATCATCCCTTGACTCTGCTCTTCGAAAGGGACGATTGTCCTCGAACTCCGGATTGGATACCGGTCGATTCAGGGAACGAGGACAGACCGAAGCACCGATTCGTTGAAGCGAAAGGACGATCTCGGGGCCGCGTGTGTCACATTGAGCGGAATGGTCCATGGTCCTCTAAGAGGTTTGGGCGCCATTTTCAAGTCGCGCATGGCATTCTATTATCACGCTATATCACGAGCGCAAAGAGGATCTGTACTAGCAGTCCGGGAAACGATAAGCTCGAAGGACGCCCCTCGGAGGGGCGTGAAAACTGGTGGCCCGTCATCTGCTCGCGGCACGCGACCCTTCGGCAACGCACGATTGCCCCCTGTCGGGGCTGACCAGTCGCCTGTCTCGTAATTAACTAGCCGCGATGAACGTTCCGCGCGCGCGAGATAACATTCGTGTGTTCGTTCAATCGTTCAGCGTCCGTTCGATCTATCAACTTTCAACGTCGGGGACGAATATCACCGCGATTCTCTTTCGCTTTATACGATTAAGGGGGTGGCCCGCACGGCACTGCGTGATATGACATCGTTACGCGAATACTCCCTACTTCGCGCGAGACCGAGATTTTGTCGACGGTCCGCGACATTGGCTGGTTTTTACGTATTATTACAGTAATTAAGAGTCCCGCGGATTTTGTCACGCTTCGTCGACATTCTCGCTTGGAACAGAAACGATCGCGCGTGTATCAGCCAACTTTTTCTCTCGGTACGGAATCCGGATCAATGTCTGGCAACGATAATAGTTTCTCTTGGATGGGGGACCTAGACGATGGTACCAAAACCGTCTCGTCGGTCTTTCCCGTTCCGACGACGGTGTCGCATCGATCCCGCCGATACGCTCGAAAAATGAAAGAATAGATCGCCTCGAGAATGATTATAGAACGCTGGACATGTGTGATGATCGTAATCCGTGGATCGATGAAGAATTTGGACCGGGCAAGACGGTCGACGGGATCGACACTCTATCGATCGTGGCGTACGTATGTGGCATACGTTTATTTATTATTATTATAATTACTATTATAATTATGATCATTATTAATGTTATTATTATTATTATTATTATTATTATTATTATTATTATTATTATATATATATATAGAATTCTGAATTTTACAAGAAACGTAATTGGTATCTCGTGCAGGGCTAGTTTCTCACCCCCCTGGTTGATTGGTGTTTATACTTTCTCCATATTTAAATCATCCACGAACACACTCGATTCAACTGTCGTTATAATATTATTTAAGAAATAGAACAAGGATATATTTATTTGTATATATATATATATATATAATATGTATATCGGCTATCAATAATGTCATCTTTGTTAAACATTCGATAACATTAAACATCACATTACTCTTCCGTCGTCTCCAAGTGATTCGGTCTTCGTCGCTCTCGGTCCCGTTTCTTCCGGTACACCCGTTTCTCGCTGACAGAGTAACAATCACCGAAGATTTCGTTATTATTTCTTTCTTTCTTTCTTTTTTTTTTAAATTACTTTTTCTTTTCTTGTTTT